TTATGGCACTAGTAGATGCAAAAAGAATGTAAATTTCTGTTGTGTGTTATTCCCATATACCTGAGCATGAATGCTGTGTGCATTTCACTATCCTGTTATCTTTGGCACCTGTGTGATGGTTTTCATATTCCTAAAATTTTCTTTCATCTGCAGACACAGCCAGCTCCCTGAGCCGGTTTTCCACTACATGTCCTGTCCTGGAGGAGGAGGTTTGGACCTTGAGCAATGGAATCCAGGAACATCGCTGAGTTCTTAGAGCGCTCAGTCAACATTCTCCACCAAGAGGCAAAGACAGAAATTTGTCTATCCTCCTTCTCATCTTCATGTAAAAGCCTGCAGTGCAGATGCAAATGTTTATCGACCTACCATTTGTATCTTGCCTTAATTTATTTTTATCTCAATATTAAGATGCTCTCAGAGATTTGTAAATTAGTCTTCAATGACATAGAATAATGCTGTTTCCTTCTCTTCCTGGTGGTGGCTCCCACATGTAAGTGTGGAAAAAATCAGATAGGAAGATGTGGAGATTCTGCCTCTGATCTCAGGACTTGCCCTATTCTCCCACTGTCCTGTCTCAGCCTCCGCTGCAAGAGATCAGAGCTGAGAACATGAAGCTCTTTCAGTCCCTGTTTCTCACCCTCAAATTCTCTGGTTAGCCCAGCTCTGGGACGTTGCCCTTGGAGTTGGTTCATTTAGCCCTCAGGCAAGAAACTGAGTGATGCGGCAGGATGGTAACAGTTGAGGCACAACTGGTCATTCACCCTTGACAAGTCAGCATCTGTAAAGACACAACCAAGAACCAGTTTTCTGAGTAACAGTCCTCAGTATTCATGGAAACACAATCATATTATCCTGTGCAATGCATTTTCTGAGGGGATTTAGGTAGAGCCCTGGCACAAAGCTATTTATAGGGTGATGAGGACCAGCAGGGAGCGCTCAGAACCAAGAAGGGGGTAGTTCAGGACTTTAGTGCCAGTTGCTCAGGACCAATGGGGAAATCTGTGGACCAGCACGGGGACCTGGGGATCTGCCGGGAGTCAGCAGTGAAGCCCAAGAGGTGGTACAGAGAAAGTGGTTATGGACTGAGAGCTTCACAACATTTTGTGATTGAGTTTTCCCTCTGTCTTAACTTCACACACACTGTGGAGAGCTTACAGTGAGCCCTCTCCAGTTCACAAGTGAGGTCTCCAGGCTGCAGAGAATTGAAGTGATTCTTGTGTGGACAGAGACTCTCCTGCATGCTTTGGATTCACCTTCAGTAGCTATGGCATGGACTGGGTCCACCAGTCTCCAGGGAAGGGGCTGGAATAGATCTCAGCCATAACTAGTCATAGTTTGTACGTATAATACGTTGACTCGGTGAAGGGCTGATTCACCATCTCTAGGGACAATGGCAAGAACTCGCTATATCTGCAAATGAGCAGCCTGAGACCAGAGGACACGGTTGTGTTACTTTTCGAAATACACAGTGACGGAAACATCAGTAGGAATCAGTCACAAACCTCCATGCAGGAACACTTAGGAAACGTACATGGGGCACTCAAGACACATAGCAAAACACATAGCACAGAATCTACAAAAGAGGATATGCATTTTATCATTTTTTAATTTTAGGTTGGCATAATGATACATAAAAATGATGTCTTGGGATAATAGATACAGCAAAAATATAAAATTTAAAACACATGCTACATAAAATCCCATCTAAACCCCAGAATAATTGATTCATTGTCTAAAGTTTACAAAAGACAAGAAATCCTGTATAGTAAAATAGAGTAATATATAGTTTGTATTAATGAAACTGTACATTTTGCATTTTGTGTCTTTTGCTCACTGTTTTGTTTTGTTATGATTGTCTTAATATATTCAATATTCTCAATGAGGATGAAGTCTTTTTGCATGTTTTAAAATATAGAACACGCTAAAAACACAATATAAAGTTGTCAGGAAGTCTATAAATATGTCATCTTACATGTCTGTCACAGATAATAAGTTGGTTATGGTACATGTATAATAGAAAACTTCTAAGGTAGTAAAAACACACAAAAAATTGTTGTCAGATGTATGATAACATACAAATCACATCCCCACCTGCTCACAATGAAAAATCACATAATTCTGTCAGAAAAGGATCTTAAAATTACAGCATTTATAAGAATTTAGTTCAGGGCCGGGGATTTATCTCAGTGACATAAGTACCTGCCTTGCAAGCAGGCAGTTGTGAGTTCGATCCCCAGTGCCGATAAAAAGATAGAAAAAACTTTAAAAAATGTAGTTCAATAAAAATGATGATACTAAGAGCCAAGGTACTCAGAGATTTCCATAATTATGAGTTTTTTCCGTTGATCAAACATTCTGTCAAGTAGGATTACTAAAGTGTGTTCTAACCAACTTTACTGATAAGTGCCACACATTAATATTTCCAATATTTAATTTCTTTCTTATAAAAGATAATTGAGAGATATTTAGAAATGCCCGTGTATAACAAGGTTGAAATGACACTGAGTCAGATACTTCTATCATTTTTAATTAGCACTTCAAGTGTTTTAAAGTTGCAAATTCATTCAAATAAAGAAACAGCATAAAATCAAAATATTTCATGTGTTTGCAAGTTTCTTGTGTGAGGTGCAGCTCATGCTGTTCAGGAGGGTAGGCTTGGTAGAGCTTCTGGGTCCCTGAGATGCTCCTGTGCAGGACCCAGATTCCCCGTTAGTGATTACTGGATCATTTCAGCCCTACAGCTCCAGGGAAGGGCTATATTGTGTACAAGTGGTGGTAGCACATAATACCCTGAGTCTGTGAAGTGCTGATTCTCTATCTCCACAGGGGCAGTTAGGAAAGCAGGTGACTGATGGGTCTGTCTGAATCTTCTTGTCCCTATGGATCCAGTTCTAAGTGCAGGCAAAGAAGTTTGGACCTGGCCGTCTGAAACTCCCACAGACTTTGTCCTTCAGCAGCACAGCCGCTACTTACTCCATTGCCTGTGGTAACTGCTGGATATGGATGCGGCAGACCCAAGAAAAGGATTGGAGTGGATGTTGCATAGAAGACATGGTGAAAACTCTAAGTACATTCTATCCTCAAGAGTCGCATCTCTATCTGCAAATATGTCTCAGAACTGGTTCTCTATGCATCTTAGCTCTATGATGACTGAGGATACAAACACACTACTGTCCAAAGACAGTGCCAGGATATCAGTGTAAGTCCAGACAGGAATTTACCTTCAGGGATGCACAGGGCAAGTAATTAAGTCCAGAATCAAAGAACTCAGGGAACCAACTTTATTGTGAATGCAGGGACATAACTGGAAGGTTTCCTTTGTAGTTGACTATCATGCATCCCTTTCTGGATCCCTGTATGCTCAAAACCCAGATGCACTCAGTGGTGCATATTTTGAGAGTTGAGTGGATCATGGCTGTGTGATGCTCAAGACTGAGTTAGTGCCCTGAAGGGGCTCATAGCTGGCCTGTGGTGTTGGAGATAAGGCCTCTCGGGGTTGAGAAGAGTCCCTCTGGGTGTGGCCTGGGAAGGAATATGTACTTCCTTCTCCCTGTTCCTGTCCACTTCCCACTGCCCTACTGTAAGAAAGCCTCCTCTATCATGTCACTATGGCATGCCATCCAAACTTGGAGCCAATGACCATGGACTGAAAACTATAAAAACTGTACCCAAAATATGAGTGTTGAGAGTGGGTCCTAAGGAGTTTCTCATTATCATGCTTGGTCACACACAGGATTGGCTTTCTCAGCTAAAGCAGCAAAGCTAACATCATGGGAGAGTGTGTGTGCAAATCTCTCTGGCACTGTAAGTAGGGAAACTTCTTCATCTGTCAGCATAATCATACTAGACTCCAGGAGCTCAGTGTCCTCAGCCTCATCGGGATACTCACAAATGTCTACATCCATGACCTGGATGTCACTGATCCACTAAATCATGCATTTGTAAATGCACAGCCACAGCTCATCATGAAATGGAAGAGGTGCACACATGACCACCAAGGGAAGCACCACTGTGCACAAGCAGGGCAAGTGAAAAGGCTGAGAGATTGTACACAGGCTACTATGCATACTATACATTCTTTAAATTGACAGCAATATCTCTGGCCTCATGGAATGTGCTATATGATCAAATGCGAAGGATGAGAAGACAAGGGCCTGTTTTACAGATGACTCTGAACATTTTGGTACAGCACACACACAGAGAGAGCTGCAGAATCACATCCTCCTTCCCGGATGTCTTTGATGGACAGAGGTGAAGGGAAATATTCACAATGGGCAGAACATTAGGCAGTTTGTGATGTGCACTTGGTAGTACATTTTGTTGGGAAAACAACATGGCCATATTTGTGATTCTATGGTGATTCCTAAGCTGTGGTCAGTGGTTTCCATAGTTGTAGGGAGCCGGCCATATCTGTATAAGAGTACCCGCAAGATGGCGCTCGCCTCCCTCCGCCTCGCTGCTCCCCCACCCATCGTGTGCCCAAGATGGGGCTCGCATCCTGCTTCCTGGTTCTTGCTCGGCTTACCGTCCCCGCCATATATGGTAATGATTGATTGCTTCCTTATTGCCGCCCAATCACCTTTCCCCACGTGTAATCCCGTGAGTGGATAACATTAGCTACATAAGCCCAAGCATAGGAAGTGCCCGACGCACAACACGGAAGAAGCCGTCACGGACGGACGTATATCGAGGTTGCTGCCCAGTCAATAAAGGTGCTTGCAGAGGCTAAGTGTTCGTGTGCTACATTCCGCGGGACGGAAGCAGCTCCGGACAGCTGGTGGCCCGTACGGGGACTCGAAACCTCTCCCGTGCCTTCTGTGGCTCCTGTGACTGCTTCGAGGAACGGTACGTAACTGCGGGTGAGTGGTGGCTCAACCCCGCCCTTGGTGGACGCACCTTAAGGGACTTGCCGGCCCACCCCTTGCTAGGGCCGACCTTGCCCGAAAAAGAAGGGCAGGCCTCTACGGGCTAAGACGCCTGAGGCTTTTACGTCTGCCAGAATGGGCAACGTGAACTGTGGCCCCCTCGCCCTCTCTCTACAGATATTGCTTAAGGCGAGGGAGATTCGAATGGAAAAGCAGACAGTTTTACAGTTCTTTAAATGCATTAATGATCTGGCTCCGTGGTTTCTGCCTACAGGCTCTCTTACCTTACCCCCCTGGGAGAAATTAGGGCGGGATATTCAGTTCGCTGAAGAACAAGGTATGGGCGTGGATCCTATGGTTCGCCCCATTTGGGAAATGGTTAGAGCCTGCCTAAAAACCGAAAGTGCGTTAGGTGCAGCCCATGGACTACAAGAAGCACGCCGTGCTTTCGAACAGGCACGCTCAGAGAGCTCTAGGGAAGCTTCGGAGGCCGGCTTGCCGAGCCATTCTGAGACAGAGGAAGACAACCTTTATACAAGCTCAGGAGAGAAAAGGAACTCAAAACCTGGCCCGCATCACGGTGCAGGACAGGCGGCCCGCCAACCTGCGGGACTGCTGTGTGATGGCATGATGGAGAGTCTGGGGGAGGAGCTCGAGAGATTGGAGAGTGAACAGCAGGGGACACGCAATGCCGGTGGGGCGGGGTTGGTCCCGTCTGCCCCTCCTTGGGAGTCGCCTCCTGGGGCGAACGCCCCCTGCGGTTGGGGGCCGCCTCCTCCCTTCCCCGCGGCACTTCCGCATTCCGGGCGCCGTTCACTTCATGGCCGTTTATGGGACGTCTTGCGTAGAGGCCTTACCTCGTATGATGCTCCCAGTTTCTACCCGGTCCTCCAGGACCAGGCCGGCACGCCTTATTATCAGCCCCTGGACATGAAAGTGGTTAAGGGATTAAAAGAGGCAGTTTCGACTTACGGCCCCAACGCCCCCTTTACACAGGCTCTTTTGGAAAACATAGGGACCACCCCCCTGACGCCTTCGGACTGGGCACAGCTCGCAAGGGCGTGTCTGTCCCCTGGACAGTTTATGGACTGGAAGGCCTGGAATGATGAATACTGTGGGGAACAGGCTGAAAAGAATGCTAGAGAACGTAATGTCAGATGGAATAAGGATATGCTACTGGGCCAGGGTGCCCATGCACATGATCAAATCAGGCACCCTCAGGCAGTCTATGACCAGATCACAAAGTGTGCAATCGCTGCCTGGAAACAGCTTGCTAAGCCAGGTGAGCACACCGCGTGCCTCACCAAGATTGTGCAAGGAACCACAGAGCCTTTCTCTGATTTTGTAGCTAGGATGCTTGATGCGGCCGGTAAAGTCTTCCCTGACCTTAGCGTGGCCCAGCCCCTAATAAAACAGCTGGTTTTTGAACAGTGCACCAAGGATTGCCGTGCGGTAATCACACCGCATAAGAACAAAAGCTTGGAGGCTTGGACAAAATTATGCAGGGAGGTGGGGGGGCCACTCTCCAATTCAGGCCTGGCAACCTTGGTGAGCGCATCCATTAATGCTGCCCTCAGTTCCCGCACCCCGGCTGCGCGACAGCGAGCACAGGGTAACAGGAAGTGCTTTGCGTGCGGTCAGCAAAGGCATGTCCGAAGGTTTTGCCCAAATAAACAGAATGCAACCGACCAAACCCAGCCGAGTGAGGCGCCCGGCGAAGGGCAAGCGGGCCTATGCCAACGGTGCCGCAAGGGTCACCACGCGGCAAAGGACTGTCGCTCTGTGTTTGACAAAGAGGGAAATTCGCTAACTGGACGAAAAGACCTGCAGCCAAAAAACGGCCAGAGGGGGCCCACCCACAAGGCGGGCCCCCTTCCCCTCAGCAGTCCCTTCCCAGGGATGATCAACCAATCAGGGCTACCCCAGGGTCAGCAGGAGTGGACCTCAGTGCCACCTCCGGACTCATATTGACCCCCGAGATGGGAGTCCAGCTGATAGAGACCTCGTTTAGGGGGCCGTTACCACCGAATACCGTGGGGTTACTGCTGGGACGCTCCTCGGCGGCCCTCCGTGGCCTCACAGTCATGCCCGGTGTGATTGATTCTGATTACACAGGTAAGGTCAAGATCATGGTCCAGTCGCTACAGGGGACTCTAGTCATAAATGATGGGGACCGGATAGCTCAGCTGCTCATTTTACCCAGCTTGCATGGTCAATATCCGGCCAAGGACCGAACCCGAGGAGACCAGGGGTTTGGATCCACGGGCAGGGATTTCATCGGCCTCCAGATGACTCTGCAGGAGAGGCCTATGTTGCTTCTCCTAGTCAATGGCAGGGGAATCAGGGGGCTATTAGACACTGGTGCCGATTGTTCCATTATCACTCAAAAGGATTGGCCGGCCTCCTGGCCCCTCAATGTGACGGAGCAGACCCTTCAAGGCCTGGGGTTTGTTCACTCGCCTAGTGTTAGTGCACAGCCCCTGCCATGGCAAGATGAGGAGGGACACAAAGGGTCTTTCCAGCCCTATGTTCTCAATCTTCCAGTGACCCTATGGGGAAGAGATATCCTAGTTCAGATGGATATTACCCTCCAGACGGGATGCTCAGAGGTGTCTCAAGGTATCATGAGACGCATGGGTTACACCCCAGGCAGGGGCTTGGGAATCAAACTACAAGGAGGAACCTCCCCGGTACCCACCACCGCTAAGAGGGATAGGAAGGGACTGGGTTTTTCTTAGGGGCCACTGCGATGCCTCTCACACCCACTCCCATAAAATTGACATGGAAATCTGACACCCCAGTGTGGGTGAAACAGTGGCCCTTACCTGCAGAGAAAAGAGAGGCAGCATTCCAGTTAATTCAGGAGCAGTTGCGGCTGGGACATATCCAGCCGTCAACTTCTCCCTGGAATACCCGCATTTTTGTCATCAGAAAGAAAACGGGGAAGTGGAGATTGCTCCACGACCTGCGGGCCGTCAACGCACAGGTCCAGCTGCTAGGAGCAGTACAGCGAGGCCTACCAGCTCTTACAGCCCTGCCACGAGGGTGGCACTTGTATGTGATAGACTTAAAAGATTGCTTCTTCTCCATCCCATTGCATGAGGCAGATACCCCCCGATTTGCGTTTACCCTACCCACAGTAAACCAAGAAAGCCCCGACTTACGGTATGAATGGAAAGCCCTACCCCAAGGTATGACCAATAGTCCCACCATATGTCAACGGTATGTCAGTTCAGTCATTCAACCAGTGCTTAAAAACTTCCCCGTTGTTAGATGCATCCATTATATGGATGACATCCTGCTTTCCGGTAAGGACGAGGTCAAGCTACACTCTGCCCTTGGCGCGCTGATCGGTGCACTTCGCTCGGCTAACCTACACATCGCCCCCAACAAGATTCAACAATCAACCTTGACCTCGTTCCTGGGGGCTAATATATCCCCTACCCAGGTTTTCCCTCAAAGACTCACTATTCGAAGAGACACTATCCAAACCCTTAATGATGCCCAGCAACTGCTGGGAGATATCAACTGGGTAAGGCCGTACTTGTCACTATCCAGTCAGGAACTGCAGCCCCTGTTTGAGATTCTTAAGGGTGACTTGGATCTCACTTCCCCCAGAACACTCACCCCGGCAGCCGAGGCCGCGCTGCAGAAGGTTGAGCAGGCACTGACTAAGGCAGCGCTGCAATGTATTGATCCGGAGCAGCCCTTTGTTGCGTGCCTCTTAAAAACAGCTAAGCAACCCACGGCCACCCTGTGGCAGGAGGGGCCGTTACTTTGGGTACACCCCAAGGTTTCCCCCGCCCAAGTTATACAGTATTACCCGGAGGCAGTAGCCTCCCTTGCCTTAAGAGCCATCCAACAATCCATCCAACACTTTGGTGTTCCACCTGCAGCGTTACATGTCCCATACACCGAAGAACAGATACAAACACTGACTGCCTGCGTAGACACATGGGCTATTCTTAGATGCTCTTTTGTTGGGCCTATTAACAACCAAGTACCCAGAAGCCCGCTGCTGCAATTTATAACTGCCCACCCGGTTATTTTCCCCAAGACAACCTCCCCTCAACCTATTTCTGGTGCCCCTGTTATCTTCACAGATGGGTCTAAGACTGGAGTGGGGGCATACGTGGTGACAGGCCACCCTCCGGTCTCCTTTCAGTTTGTCCCGGACCAGCCCCAGGTGGTAGAGCTCCAGATTGTGTGGGAAGTGCTGCGGGTATTCCTGGGGGACATCAATATTGTTTCAGATTCAAAGTATGTGGTTAATGCCATGCAGGTCCTGGAGACAGCCGGACCCATTAAACCCACATCCACTGTTACCGGTCTGCTGGGGGAGATACAAAATCTGCTGCTCTCCCGTAGAGGAAAAGTATATGCCACACACATCAGAGCCCATAGCCAGTTACCTGGGCCGTTGTCTCGGGGTAATGCCGCCGCTGATGAGGCAACACGCCCTCTGTGGATCTTTGAGTCCCAGGACCCCCAGACCGCAGCCAGAACATTTCATTCACTATACCATGTGAATGCGCGCACCTTGGTGGTGCGGTTCGGCATATACAGGCAACAGGCACGTGATATAGTGAAACTGTGCTCAGATTGTACGACCCATCTGCCCACACCGTCCGTGGGCATCAATCCCAGGGGCTTGAATCCCAACCACATTTGGCAAATGGATGTCACCCATATTCAGGACTTTGGTTCCCTCAAGTACCTGCATGTATCTGTTGATACCTGCTCACAGGTCATTTTCGCCACAGCGGAAACTGGTGAGAAGGTCACACATGTCATCAATCACTGTCTAGCCGCGTGGGCGGCATGGGGAAAGCCACAAATCTTAAAAACAGATAATGGCCCCACTTACACCAGCAAAACTTTTGCCCAATTCTGCTCCAAAATGCAAGTGACACTTAAACATGGAATCCCCTACAATCCACAGGGGCAGGGCATCATTGAGCGGGCCCATAGAACACTCAAAACTATCTTACTTAAACAAAAGGAGGGAATGGGCCATGGCCTCCCCCCGAAAGGAAGACTCTCATTGGCCCTGTTCACACACAATTTTTTGAACCTAAACGCACATGATCGTGCCCCCGCAGAGGAGCATGTTAGTCCCTCACCTGAGCATAAAGGCATGGTAAAGTGGAAGGACGTCCTCACAGGGCAGTGGAACGGCCCGGATCCAGTACTTAGCTGGACCCGAGGTGCGGTCTGTGTCTTCCCACAGGAGCCTGGAAAAGAACCGGTGTGGATCCCGGAGCGCCTGGTCAGAGTCAGCGGCGTATCACAGGTGAAAGTGCCGGAAGGGTCAACGGATAAACCCCCTGCCGAGCGGTAAACGTGTTTCACGCACTGTCAGTAAGTTCAATATCTCTTTCCCACTTACTCCCGATACTATCATTCTGTCTTATGCCAACATCTCAGTCACAATGCAGAGGTCCAATTTGACCTTGCCATTGCTGGAATTCGTTAATTGGACATGCATGGAGTGTGAGGGACTAGGCAATGTTAGTTCCCCTGAAACATGCTTGACGCTCAATCAGGCGCGGTGGCCTATCATGCCTGACTGCAGCAGAGATTTTCAGGCCCCGAGGCATCCACTTTTTGAATCCTGTGACACCTATGTCCCTCGAATAACTAGACTGGCAGAACCCTTCTGGCGCCGCTGTGTCCCAACCATCCATCCATACCCCATAACCCGTGAGGGATGGTGGCTCTGGACCACCCTCCCCAGAAAGGAGGGCAACCTAACTAAGCTGCAGAATTATTCAGTGGGGGCCGCCTGGGCAGCTACAGGATATTGCCCTGAACCTCTGCCCGACCCCACTCGTCACACCTCTTCCATCTTTGCGCAGCATCAGCTTTGCAATGCAATGGGCGCATGCTTGGACCTCCGCCCCTTCATGACACTTAACCAAACGTTATCCAATACCTCCACTGCCAATGTCACGGGTTCAGCGAACGGAACTTATTTGCTTAATAGGGAGGTCTGCGTGGACCCTCCGTTCGTCTTTGTGCTCTCTCATCAGCACACCTTCTATTGCAATTCCTCGCAGGGCAATGGCTCCTCTTGCTTGCTGGCTAATTGTTGGAACGGTTACACCATTTTTGCAATCTTGGCATACCGCCCCAGTTACCTTTGGGTCCCTGTCCAGACTCAAGACTGGGTTGGACCAGTTTCCCAGCAGGTCTCACTCTCCTCCTTGCCAACCAGAGCTAAGAAAGGGATAAAGGATTGGTTATGGCAGGCGGCGGGGGTGGTCTCTTCTCTGTTTGTCCCTGCAGTGGGGCAGGCTGGTTTGCAGGCGTGGACCACTGAGCAACTCGCCCTAACCATGGACGCCGTCAACCGACTGGACAACGCCACGAAGGAAGCCATCAGAGCCCAGAAACAGCAGATCGAGCTGCATAGTCAAGCCATATTATGGCTGCAGGAGGAGATTCAGCTCATTGGACAAGAGATCGACGCCTTATGGCAGGTGGCCACTCAACTCTGTGACCAGAGATGGCTGTCCTTCCAGGTCTGCGTCACCCCTGTCCATACAAACTTGACTGAAACCACAAAGACCATGACCAAGTGGCTACAGGACACTTATTTGCCAACCTTTCACAACCTGTCCCTAATTGTTAACCAAGGACTGGATGAGATGGACAAAATTCAATTGCACCCGGTCAGATTTGACCTGTCCAACCTAGGGGATGTCCTCTCGGGTTTGTGGGATCGTGTCACCTCCTGGTTTTCTTGGCCCAATCTGACAACCTGGATACTCGTTGTTGTCGCTATATTGGTGGGGCTGGTGGTTGTCAAGTGTTTGTTAGACCGCTTGATGCAATCTCAACAGCAGGTTAAGGTTACAGCCATGGCGGCAATGCAGCTGGCGGAGGGAGGCCCATCGGGTCGCCAAGCCGCCGCTTATCTCCTCCACGTTGCAGAACATCAGTTGTAATGTGCTGGATGGGTGAGCCAA